TATTATTATTATTATTATTATTATTATTATTATTATTATTATTATTATTATTATTCCTTAATCTGAAGATTTCTTCATTCCATCAAAGTTGAAGACTGTTTCAGGGGTCTTCCTGTGCCTTTTAGTTACCTGGCTAGACACAAGAAAGATCATACACAGGTAAGGTTTGAAAGATTGAAGAAGTGAATGTGAAATACTTATGATATATCATATTATTCTCACATATACCTGTTACACAGAGCAACAGCCCCTGCCTTTAATGGGCTCCTTGGAACCTAAGAAAAAAGTGTAGCCGCTTGCAAACTATTACAAAGCAAGAAAGCCCACATATTGTTTCTTTATTAGCAAAATGGGTAGCCACTTCCCTAATAGATCAATGGGCGGTTAGTAAAAGGATTAAGAAAATTCCCCCAATGAACTGAGAGGTAAATTAAGTGCTAAAGCAAACATGCCCAATTGCCAAGATTGCTGTAAGTTAATTCCTCATTTCTTTCAATAAGGAGGTTAAATAAATCTGCTTTTTATTGTCAGCAGCTGTAATGGGCTTCACACTAACTTTCTTCCATTTATAAACCATTGTTTTTCTCGGCTAATTAGGAAGGAGGTTAATCCTTTCCTGCTTACTATTTCACATATTCCTCAGAGACATGTGCTCCTTCCCATGCATCTGATTGGGATCAGATAGATGACCGGCCATTAAGATAGTTGTCCGTCTCCATCAGGTGGGACCCAGGCAGTGTGCCTATTCTGCTGTGGCTCCCTCACATCCCTCATCACCCCCCCTGGAGTGTGGTTAACACCAACTTTTGTTAGCTTTCTGGAAGACCATGTGACGGCAATGCAGAAGACCATTGTTATTTGTAGGAGTTTAGTGACATGTCTTGATTTCTCCTTCATATTAAGAAAAGTTTAGAGCTCATCCTGTGCTGTCCTGCTTGTTTTTCATTCTTACTTGCTGAATAAAGGATAATGAATAATTGGAGGATGTCTTCATATAACTTCAAAGCTGTGAACATATCAGATTTTTTGGTTGGGTGGAAGACCATTAGAAAACCCCAGGGACTATAACCTTGAGTCAAGTTCAACTCAAGAACACCTTTATTTTATTTTTATTTTATTTGTCTGTCAAACATGTACAAGATGACAAGTATAAGTATTAACATATACATGAACAAAGGAAGTAAATATAAATAAATGGGGACTGTGCTGTCCAGACAGTTTATAGTTAGTTAGGAATTGGGAGCTGTCCCCTTAAGGGAATGCATCATGGTAAATGCAGTTAAGGTATCATGGAAAATGTAGTCAATGTCATGTGGTCACATCTGTAATACTGATTGGTCAATGATTGGTCACCCACTTGGTGGGTTGGGGGCGGTTTCTTCACTCTTGCCTGAACCCCAGAACCATGCTGGCGCCTCACCCCCTTGCTCCATCATTATGAGAATGAAAAGAGAACAATCCTTTTACACCATAAAGTCAGCTATGCAGAGAATTGGACACTGAGATGAATCTCGATGTAACCCTGAGTTATATTTGAGGATGCCTGATGAATCAATAAAGACACTTTGTATGGCTGCCTTTGTAGAGTTTAATCTGTCTGCCTTATAATCAGCTAGTGGTTGTAAAGGCCAGAACAGGGACAGTAAGACAGGGACAGTAGGCACGCTGTTGCACTTATGCATGGCCCCTTTAAGGACCTCTTAAGTGAGGTCCATGGTAGACAGTTTGAGGTTGAAGCTGTGAGGGGTTGAGCCTGAAACAACAAAGTCAGGTAGTGCATTCCAGGGATTGACCCCTCTGTTGCTGAAGTCATATTTTCTGCAATCGCGTTTGAAGCAGTTTACCTTGAGTTTGTATCGATTGTTTGCCCGTGTATTATTATGGTTGAAGCTAAAGAACTCATTGACAGGCAAGACATTGTAGCAGAGAATTTTGTGCACTATGCTTAGTACAAAATATATGCCTTTATACAAGAGTTGGATGTCTATTGACGATTCATTTTTGTTAAAAAAAACATAAGAAGAAAAGTGGTTCCAAGTTCAAAGGGTCAATCTAGGATGAGAAAGATAGAGGTCAAGCCCTCATCCAACTGTGAACTCAGTGGGTAACTTCAGATCAGTAATTACAATTTAGCATTCCTTACTAAGGAAAAAAGGATAAGTGTAATCCCATTTTAAAAATTCCTGGCTGAACGGGGCATACAACATACGTTGACAGTACCTGCTCGTCCTGTGGCGAACGGGCAGGTGGAACGCATGGTTCGTTATACAAAAAATGCAATAGAAAAAATTGAAACCGGGGACATATGCGACAAAATAAATAAAATGCTACAATACAACAAATAACACCCAATTCAATGACAAATAAAAGCCCGACAGAGCCAATTATGGTCCCAGCTAGACAGACTTCACCCCACATAAAACCCAGAGAAACCCCCAGACTCATTGAGCAAATACCGAATATTTGCTCCAGGAGACGCAGTCTATGCAAAAAACTTCACAGGAGACCCGCTCTGGGTACCGGCAAAAATAACCCAAGTAACGGGGTCCTGATCGTACCGACTACAAACAAACAACGGGAGAAGCTG